TATATACTTCATCTACGCCCTGATTCCGCATTGTCTGCATAACGGCTGATATTTCTACTGAATCAAATGCCTTCTCGTAATCTGTGAAGGGTATGTATAGTGGTTGGTTATACTCTGGGCATTTTTCTATTACCTGATTGATAGTATGGATGTGGTCGATTGTTGAGTAGCCTGTTCAAAATCCTGCTTGTTCCTTTGGTTGATTGAATTCTAATGTTTTCTTTACTCTGTTAGCAATTACCTTTGTAAATAGCTTGTATACTACAGAGAGCAAGCTGATCGGCCTGTAATTCTTCAAGTCCTTGTCATCTCCTTTCTTATGTATAAGATGATGTTAGCGTTCTTCCAAGACTCTGGTACTCTTCCCGTCAGGAGACACCTCGTAAACAGGGTGGCTAGTTCTTCTAACACAATCTGTCCTCCATCTTTCAGCAGATCTAATGTTACCTGATCCTCACCAGCAGCTTTGCCTCTTTACTTGCTCTCCAAAGCTTTTCTGACTTCTTGTATCATTACTGGTGGGGTGTCATCTGGGTTACTGCTAGTTCTTATAGTATTAAGGTCGTGGTTGTCTCGGCTACTGTACAGATCTCTGTAAAACTCCTCCGCTATTTTAACTATCCTATCCATATTGGTAGTTATTTTGCCTTCTTTGTCCCTTAGTGCATACATCCGATTTCTGCCTATCCCAAGTTTACTCTTCACTGCTTCGACGCTTCCTCCGTTTTTCAGAGCGTGTTCCATTCTCTCCATGTTATACCTTCTTACATCGCATACCTTACGTCTATTAATCAACTTCGAAAGCTCTGCCAGTTCTCTTTTGTCTGTTTTACTTGACACTTTCATAATTTGATGCTTCTTAATTAGGTTCTTCGTTTCCTGGGAAAGCTTGCCAGTGTCCTGTCTAACTACCCTGCCTCCAACTTCCACTGTACACTCCATAATGATACTCGTCAGATTATTATTCATTGTATCTACGCTAAGGTTGGTTTCCTCATTAAGAGCCGAGTACCTGTTCTGCAGCGACACTCTGAATTCCTGTACTCTCCCTCTCAGGGCTAGCTCATTGATTGGCTTTCTGCGTATCAGTTTCTGTCGTTTCTTCTTCAAGCCTAGGCGCATTCGAGACCATACCATTATATGGTCACTGCATCGTACCACATAGTGGCGCGCGCCTACTGCCTCTCCTAGAGATACTCTATATGCTACCTTTAGGCAGCAGTGTTGCGCCAAGGTACGCCATATTGGGTTCAAAAGTCTTGCGGGAAAGCCGCTCACTACCCGCGTAGGAGCAGCGCTTGCGCTTCAGAGTACTAGCGTTGGTTTATTTATTTTTTCGCCTTCTTTTTCTTTCTTTTTTATGGAGATATGAAAAAAAAACACTCAGTTGCTCTGGTCACGCTTGCAAGGCTCGATTTTATGTTTGCGTTTTCGGTATGTAATAATAGAAAAAAGTGCATCAGCTCGTTGAACCAGTGATGCATATTATATTTATATAGGCCACACATTAGCTTCGATTTCTTTTGCGCTTTCAGCTGCAGTCAATGCACGCACTAGCAGCAACACCTTGCCAATTTAAATAGTTCTAGTTTAAATTCTCCCTTTATATTTAGCGCTGTAGCCACCAGACCAATTGTCTGGCGGCTAGAGCTAAAGCCGCCAGACCAGACAGGTGAAGTGCCTCAGACCGTCTGGCCGATGTTTCGATAGGAGGACCTATCTTTTTTCAAAAACGCCATGTCATCTTTGGCGTGTTAGTGTTATGGGGTTAGTGGTGACGTCTTCTCAAGGTAGTGGTGCGTGTCCCTGATGATGATCGCCGTTTGAAAAGTAAAATACCATAAACCGGAAGAGTGCAGTCCTTGCTTCACTTCAAGTCAGGTTGCAGTGATTCAAAAATGTTCTCAGAGAGTGGAAAAAAAAGCGCAAAGTTGGACTGGTGTGCTGCAAAAGGAGCGGCCGCTTGAGACACAAACAAGTGAAAGCGCTTAAAGCTTCGGCGGAGGCAGATGGTCGCCGTGTCCGGCTACCAGAAAGGGTTGCCGACAATAGCGGTGTACGCCTGTTCTTGAAATCCTACGATATCGACATACAACAAGAAAGCAGATACAAACAGGGGGGGGGGGGCGGGGGTAGAATCCGGCGTATTTTCAAACGCCAAGATGTAGAAGGTAAGCGATAAGCGCACGGTTTCTGAAGAGTGCATGTTTAATGGGGAAGATCATTGGACAAGATATGTTTTCCGTGTCTCCATAGGTGGAGACACCGAAATTTGTTGCTATCGCGTTCAGTGCCTTTCACAGCTTTGCCTTTGCGGCAAAGCTACGTCTTTTTTTTTTGGCTCACCAAGTTTCTCGATGGCGGTGCTCGTTCCCGGCGTGGAATTGTCCTTAAAGCTGAATTTGCGTTCTGCTTGGGACTCCACATGCCGTGGGGCGGTCGTCATACCGGTCGCCTGGCCCTTCCTGGCACCGCTCTCCCCAGCGAACGTGTCTTCCACGGTGGCCCAATACACTGCGCTGGAGCTTAGCGATGTCGTACTCCGCAGCGTCGACACTGTTCACACGCTTCGTGCGCCGTGTTCATTGTGCTTCCCTCGCCACTTCCCTCGCCAATCTGGGTGGCGGCAGCTTGGCTGTGCTCAGCTTCGCTGCCTTTCTCCTCTTGCCTTTCGTTACTGCGCATGCTCACTGGCATCTGTGTGTCTGCTTGACTGTATTACTATTTAAATATGTGTATTTTGTATGTGTGTCTTCTTTACTATTTATAATATATACTGTAATGAAAATATTGCGGAATAGTTTCATCACGCTTGTCCTGTGTGCCGTGTGAAGAGAATGAAGCGAGACAGAGCTTGGTAGTAAACACACAACGTTTATGGCCAATCCCCCATGTGGGTATGAGGAAAGATCTCCTAGGAGACAAGAAAAGACAAGACGTTTATGAGAAACACGGAAAATAAACCTTGAACACAGAACGACAAAATGCGTTAATGAAGATGAATAACAAGACTGCCTGACAGATTGAGGAAAACAAACGAACGCGAGCTCAAAGCGGAAAGTTCCAAAATTAGGCGGAAAGCCCAATTGTGAATTGCCACCTCTATGGCCCACTACGAGTCATAAACCGATTGGCAAACATTTGGCTCGAAATCCTATGTGCCTTGCCCCCGCTTTTTCGTCGTTGTCGTCGTTTTCCCTCTGTCATCACGCATACAGTTAACTAATAGGACAAAGTAAAAGTACATATCTTTCGTAAATGTTTTTGCCGTTGGTCGGCAGACTTCATTAATAAATCTGGTACCAGCATTGACTCAACCACTCCTACGCGAATACGTTTAGCGGAATCTGGTGCATAAAGCAAATCTGACATTATATTTACAGCTCTATATCAATTACATCGTTTCAGCTGCTGACTTTGTAAAGATAAACGCCCGAGATTTTTCACACAACGAAGTAAGAAATCTAAGGGCTTTATAAGGCGCGAGTGCTCATAAAGTACACGGATAGTTTCCTATATGTGTGCCTGTATTCATACACGTGAAAGCTGTGGTAAAACGCATAAAAGACATTTGCATCAGTTATGTAGCCTAATTTTTCCTCGTGAAAGTAGCAAAAAAGGTCGGCAAGTCGTTTTGCTGACAAAGCTGCTTCATCACTTCAGATAGCTATAGGTATGGCTAAAAAAGACTGAAACATTGCCATGACGCGTTTTTTTCTCTCTTGAAGATGCTTTATTTAACTAGGCCAGCAGCGATCGCCAACGAGTCTATAGATATTCAAGCACGCGTCTGCAATGTGTTTGTGTGTTCGTGTTCAATATGCCCCCAACACCCTATTTACTGCAGATTTTTTAAAATATGTGGTCAACGTCTTCTCTACTGCAGATTTTTGAAACCTTCCGTTTCGCTGTGTCGATCTCGGATTCAGACAACGACACCGTGTTCGAGTGCTTGCAGGCCAATCGCACTGCCTTCAACCCAGAGGAGAAGACCGCAACTTATGTTTTCATTTTCCCAAATACACAGTACGTTTTTTTAAAAACCACATTGAGTAGTTTTTTGCAACTTTTAAGCGTAGACGTCAATATCCAGTACTTTAAACGCTTCCGAATGCTTCTTTAAATATTTCATGACTTGTAAAGCTCTGGATAAATGCGAAGATAATTTTGATTATCTGTTGTTTCGTGATTACAAAGCGTCTTCTTTGACAATAAATGTTCTTCAAAGCATTTATAGGCCAATCTATAAGGATAATACTACAGCAAAAATATTTGTAAGAATAGGCGATACGCCTAATTCTTCCCCGACCTACTACTGTGATGATGAACAAAATGTATACGAATTCCCATATTTAACAATAGAACATATTTGTTTTCCTGTTCCTGACGCTTTATGCACCTGATTGCCGCATTTCCTTCCTTTGTCGTGTACAGAACAGTGCTAATAGACAACTTACCTACTACGTACCGAAGTTTTATCATTTGGGTCTTGCATTACGAAGCATGGGCACTGTGGGATCAGCTGAGTACAACAATGACTTCAACAGCTTACACGAGGCTGACACCGAAGTGAAACAGAGAGTTTAGCCGTAGAGCAATAAAGGGATTGTGCCTTGGTGTGCTAGTGCAATAGCAGCACATTGTGAGGATTGCTTTGAGTTGACTAGTCGAGGCCGAAAGGTCAAGGGAACAATGAAATGCACGAACACCACTAGCACAAGCCGGTGGAGAAGAACGTTCATTGTGCACTGCAGCAAGTTACTGTGTTTATCGTCGCGAGGAAAAAACAGAAGTGGAGGCAGTCCACAATGTCCACAACGCAACGTCTTGCGCATTGACTTGCACAGGCTACGATGTAGCAGCTCATACAAATTTGTACAGGACATTGGTCAGCGTAGCCAGTTACACTCAAAATTAAATTATGATCTCAAAATATTTGTCTGTTTTGCGTAAGTGCCAAGCATAGGCGCTTACATTTTTCAATTCCTCGCTTTACGTACATTGTAAGCATGCGGCATGTGAGATTCTGGAAGAAAAAAAATTATTTTAAGAAAAGGTATAGTTGGTGCCTGTGTTGTTATCATGTCTTTCTTTTATGTATGCACACCCTAAAGCTAAATCTTACGAAACGCGGAATTTTTGAGAAACCTGTACTCCTGCATTGTCTCACCAAGAGCCTTTACGTAATTGTACCAACCTGTAGTTCGTATTGCAACCTATGCAGTAATCTCTTACATTTGAATATATGCGCTGTCATAGCTTTGAAATTTTCATTTCATGTGGAACGAATGACACACCAGATTTTTCAGCTGGGTGTAGATGAGGACACCAGCTTGTGTGTTTATCTCAGGGGAATTTTCCTCACTTTTTTGGGAAGTGTACGCCAATTTCAAGTTTCAAGGCTCTAGTCAATATTGTGTGTGTGTGTGTGTGTGTGTGTGTGTGCGTGTGCGTGTGCATGTGTGCGTGCGTGCGTGTGTGTTAGAACCTCCATAAACATGTGCACCTACCCAATTCCGATTAGACGCACTGTCACAGTTCTTTTCACATCCGACTCCCTGCAAACACATGTATGAAATCAGACGATACCCCGCCAGCCTTTACACTTCAAAAGGCCAGTTCCCAGCTCAAGGTAAAATGATATCACGTAAGAGTGAGGGTAGCCCGAAGACAGGAGACCAGGAGGTTAGTAGAAATAGGAGATCCGTGTATTTGGCGGACTTGCGCCCACTAAAGGAAAACAGACACACCGGCTTAGCGGGAGGCGAACAGTGCGTTCGACGGCCGTCGGGTAACAAGAAAGTCCCACTGGAACGCAAGGCGCGCTCGACGGCCGTCGGGTAACAGAAATGTCCCACTGGAACGCAAGGCGCGTTCGACGGCCGTCGGGTAACCGAAATGTCCCACTGGAACGCAAGGCGCGTTCACCATCCGAGATACAGTTGCCGTAGCGTCTGGCGCTATCTCGTTATGAACGAATGGTCGACGTGCGGGCCATGATCTTCGCAGATGAGTCGCGGTGCATCCTGGACCACGATAAGGCCGCGTGCCGGCGGTATCGGCATGCGCAACACTATCCGCAATACGCCTCGCGGCATTGCTCCCCTCCTCAACGTAAGCATCGACCCGATGCTTTGTTTAAAATAAAACCAAAACAAAAGGACAGCCTGTGCGAAAGTAAATGGCAAATAAGCACGAATCACGCACACATAAACAAAACAATAGATGCAAACAGGGAGCCTCCTTTAGCGCGCATGATAGGGCTTCAAACGGGCGACGTGTACCACTTCTTGTCGTGCGCGGCGTCGTTGGGATGAGCTAGCGCGATCAGGGACCACTTCATAGTCCACTTCACCCACTTGACGGATGACTTTGTATGGGCCGAAATAACGGCGCATGAGTTTTTCGCTTAATCCTCGGCGGCGAACGGGCGTCCAAACCCAGACTTTGTCACCTGGCCTGTATGTTAAATCGCGTCTCCGCAGGTTGTAGCGTCTTGCGTCGTTTCGCTGTTGGTCTTTTATGCGCAGACGAGCAAGCTGCCGGGCTTCTTCTGCGCGCTGAAGGTAGGCGGGCACATCTAGGTTGTTTTCATTGGTGACATTAGGCAGCATGGCGTCCAGGGTGGTAACGGCATCCCTCCCATGGACGAGATTAAATGGTGTCATTTTAGTGGTCTCCTGCACCGCGGTGTTGTAGGCGAAGACTACGCAAGGCAGAGTTAAGTCCCAGGTCTTGTGTTCTGTGTCCACGTACATAGCGAGCATATCGGCAATGGTCTTGTTCAAGCGTTCCGTGAGACCATTTGTCTGCAGATGGTACGCAGTTGTTCTTCGGTGATCTGTCTGACTGTAATGTAAGATTGCCTGAGTAAGATCAGCCGTAAACGCCGTTCCCCTGTCTGTTATTAGTACCTCAGGTGCGCCATGACGGAGGAGAATTGATTGGACAAAAAATTTGGCAACTTCTACGGCTGTGCCGTTCGGGAGGGCCTTAGCTTCAGCGTATCGGGTAAGGTAATCAGTGGCCACTATGATCCACTTGTTACCGGATGTTGACGTGGGGAAAGGTCCAAGCAGGTCCATACCAATCTGTTGGAATGGTCTCGACGGGGGTTCAATTGGCTTGAGAAATCCAGCTGGTTTTTTTGGAGGTCTCTTCCGGCGCTGACATTCGCGGCAACTCTTGACGTACCGCGCAACATCTGAGGAAAGGCGGGGCCAGTAGTATCGTTCTTGAATTCTGTGGAGTGTACGTGTAAAACCGAGGTGGCCTGCAGTGGGTTCGTCATGTAACGCTTGTAAAATTTCTTCCCTGAGGCTGCTTGGGACGAAGAGAAGGTAAGCTGCCTTATTCGGTGCGAAGTTCTTTTTAACTACCACCCCGTTTTGCACACAGAAGGAGGATATCCCACGCTTGAACAGTGCAGGCGGTATGGAGGCCTTTCCTTCGATGTAGTTGATCAACTGTTGTAGGATCGGGTCTGAGCGCTGCTGTAATGCAAAGGTGCTGCTGCTGATAGGCCCAAGAAAGGCATCGTCGTCTTCATGGCTTGGTGGTGCGCCGACAGGGGCTCTTGAGAGGCAGTCTGCGTCGGAGTGCTTACGACCAGATGTGTAGACTACCTTCACGTCAAACTCCTGAAGCCGTAGGCTCCATCGAGCGAGGCGGCCAGAAGGGTCTTTCAAACTGGCCAACCAGCACAACGCATGATGGTCCGTTACGACCTTGAAGGGTCTGCCATATAAGTATGGGCGGAATTTCGAGGTGGCCCATACTATCGCAAGATACTCCTTCTCAGACGTGGAATAGTTTACTTCCGCTTTCGACAGTGAGCGGCTTGCATACGCGATGACGCGCTCGCAGCCCTTGTGCTTCTGAACGAGAACGGCACCTAAGCCGATGCTGCTGGCGTCTGTATGTATCTCAGTTTCGGCATTTTCATCAAAGTGACCCAGCACAGGCGGCGACTGTAAACGTTGTTGAAGTTCTGTGAATGCCTCACGTTGCTCAGCTTTCCATTCGAAAGGGGCGTCCGACTTGGTGAGCTGCGTCAAAGGGGCAGCAATGTGTGAGAAGTTCTTGACGAAGCGTCGGTAATAGGCGCACAGTCCTAAGAATCGGCGCACTGCTGTCTTATCTTGCGGTTGAGGAAACTGTGCGATAGCGGCTGTCTTCTCGGGATCTGGTCTTACGCCATCTTTGCTTATAACATGGCCAAGGAACTGTAGTTCTTCATAGGCAAAATGGCACTTTTCTTGCTTCAGTGTCAGCCCTGATGACTTAATTGCGTCCAGTACCGTCCGGAGCCTTTTCAGGTGGTCGCTAAAGTTGGAGGCGAAGACGACCACATCGTCCAGGTATACGAGACATATTTGCCACTTGAGACCTGCCAGTACTGTGTCCATTAGACGCTGGAAGGTTGCTGGAGCGGAACAAAGTCCAAATGGCATCACTTTGAACTCATACAATCCATCCGGCGTGATGAAGGCGGTCTTTTCTCGGTCTCTTTCATCAACCTGAATTTGCCAATACCCTGTCTTCAGATCAATGGACGAGAAGTACCTTGCATCACTGAGACGATCTAGGGTATCGTCGATCCTTGGTAAAGGGTACACGTCCTTTTTGGTTACACTATTCAACCGTCGGTAATCGACGCAAAACCGAAGACTTCCGTCTTTCTTTTTGACAAGGACGACTGGTGCCGCCCATGGGCTTTTCGATGGCACAATTACATCGTCGTGTAACATTTCCTCAACTTGCTCTCGGATGGCCTGACGTTCACGTGCCGACACACGATAAGGGCTTTGATGGAGAGGGCGGATGTCTTCTTGTGTTATGATTCGATGCTTTGCCAGAGAAGTGTGCCGGACCTGTGAGGTTGTGGCGAGACAGTCGTCATAACGTCGAAGGAGGTTCTGGAGCAGTTGCTGCTTGCATTGAGGCAAGGAAGGGTTAATGTCGAATGACAGCTGCGAGTTGTGGGTCTGTGGGGTGATGGTCGCTGGATTCGAGAGGGCGAGGCTATCACTGACTTCCGCGATTTCATCGAGAAAGGCAATGGTCGTGCCTTTGGCCAGGTGACGGTGTTCTTGGCTGAAATTTGTTAGCAGCACTGGGCCCTGTCCATTCCGGAAGTCTGCAATGCCTCTTGCGATTGCGATATCACGGCCAAGCAAAAGTTGTATGTTACCTTCGACGACGCCATGAGCATTTTCGGCAGTACCAGTGGTTACGGGGATTAGGGTCGTTGATCGGGGTGAGACGCTCACGTCATTCTCGAGCACACGGAGGGCTGCGCGATTATGTGGTGCCGAGTATGAATTTATGGCTTCATCCGAGGAAAGTTTGATAGATCTGGACGCCAGGTCAATAACCGCGTGATGTTGATTCAAGAAGTCCATGCCGAGAATGACGTCACGGGAGCATTGTGGGAGCACCAAGAAAGTGACAAGGTATGTGTGACCATCGAATGTCACCCTTGCAGTACATCGCCCCGATGGGGTGAGGAGGTGGCCTCCCGCTGTGCGGATCTGCGGGCCGTCCCAAGCCGTCTTAACCTTCTTCAGTTGTGCTGTCAATGGCCCGCTGATGACCGAGTAGTCAGCTCCTGTGTCAATCAAGGCAGTTACCGGGTGGCCGTCGATAGATACTTCAAAATCGGTGGCACGTGGGCTGGAGTTGCGCGTTGGTTTTGGGTTCGGGTCACGGCTTCGTCTTGTTGCTTCGTTTTGCTTCGTCTCGCGGCTTGGGTTGTTGTGCGTTATCGTCGTCGTAGATGATGTGCTGTCGTCATATATGGTCGTCGGTGGAGGGTCTTCAGCTTTTCCTCTTGAAGCAACCTCACCTCCAAAGGTTGCTGGTTTTAGTTTCCCCTACGGGGGCTTGGGGACCTTCTTCGTTCGTTGTTGCTGCGGTTCGGTGACGTGAAGCGTGGGGATGGCGGTGATGGAGAACGGCTGGGCAAGTACTCTGTATGGCGCAAGTAGTCTTCGATTTCCGGAGGTCGTTGTCCAGGGCGTGGCCGTGGTGCCTGAGATGAGAAGCCATGCAGTCCCATCCGCCTGTAGGGGCAGTGTCGAAGAATGTGGCCGGCCTCACCACAGTGAAAGCATAGGGGACGGTCGTCGGGAGTTCTCCAGGTGTCGCATTTTCTTTGGCTCGGGCGTCTCTCGTATGTAGGGTGGGCGGGTAAGGGCGGACGGCTACTTGGGGCTGCAGCGTACCGTCGAGGACTGGGCTCGTTTCGTCGGGGTGGCCTAGTGTTCACTGCAGCGGCGTAAGTCATTGCTTCGGCCTCTGTTCGAGTCGTCGCTGATGAAGAGCCAAGCGCCTGCTGGACTTCATCACGCACTATGTCCAAGAGAGATGCTCCTTGGGGGGGCTGGGGGGTAGGCGGTAGCAATCGGCGTAGTTCTTCCTTAACCACTTCACGAATAGCTTCCCGCAGATCATTGGTGGTTAGCCCACCTCGAATCGGTTCCGAGTAGAGCGAGCTGAGCTGGAACGGGCGGTTGTATTGCCGAGTCCGGGCGTCCAGGGTCCTTTCTATGGTGTGCGCTTATTCAGTAAATTCGGCGACTGTTTTAGGAGGGTTCCTTATGAGACCGGCGAAAAGCGACTCCTTCACCCCTCGCATTAGGTATCTGACCTTTTTGTCTTCGGTCATGTCTTGGTCCGCTCGCCTAAAAAGACGTTTCATTTCTTCGACGTACACTTTTAGGGTCTCATTGGGCTGTTGGGTCCTCGATTCTAGCAGCAGCTGGGCCCTTTCTTTTCGCATGATGCTGGTGAAGGTCCTGAGCAACTCATTCTTCAGAAATTCCCAGGTGGTCAGTGTGGTCTCATGGTTTTCATACCACGTTTTGGCGGGGCCGTCCAGGGAAAACTAAACGTATCGCAGCTTCATTTCTTCATCCCACCTGTTTATGGTAGCCACGCGCTCGAATTGGTCGAGCCATTCTTCTGGGTCTTCAGTGGCATAACCATGGAAAGTTGGGGGCACCCGCGGCTGCTGCAGCATGACAGGGGTAGGTGATTGCGGGGTGCTCATGGTGGCTGTGGAAGCGTCCTTTCGTGGTCGCGTGGGGTCCGGTAGCGGTCCCAGCTCAGGTGGCAGGTTTCGGAGGCGGCGACTGCTTCGAATATCTGTGTCTTCAGCGTCCTCGTTCTCTGCAGTGGCTGTTTTAAGGTCGTTTTTGTGCATACCCCGCCCCTCCACCAGATGCCACGTAAGAGTGAGGGTAGCCCGAAGACAGGAGACCGGGAGGTTAGTAGAAATAGGAGATCCGTTTATTTGGCGGACTTGCGCCCACCAAAGTAAAACAGACACACCGGCTTAGCGGGAGGCGAACAGCGCGTTCGACGGCCGTCGGGTAACAAGAAAGTCCCACTGGAACGCAAGGCGCGTTCGACGGCCGTCGGGTAACAGAAATGTCCCACTGGAACGCAAGGCGCGTTCGACGGCCGTCGGGTAACAGAAATGTCCCACTGGAACGCAAGGCGCGTTCACCATCCGAGATACAGTTGCCGTAGCGTCTGGCGCTATCTCGTTATCAACGAATGGTCGACGTGCGGGCCATGATCTTCGCAGATGAGTCGCGGTGCATCCTGGACCACGATAAGGCCGCGTGCCGGCGGTATCGGCATGCGCAACACTATCCGTAATACGCCTCGCGGCAATATGTTCGATGTTAATTTAAATGGTCCGCCTGCTGTTTGTATTACTTAAAATCACTGAAGTGGAGCATAGCTAGCTAATCAAAGCCTATTCGAACGAGTCCCGAAATGCTTTTTCGTTACACTCTTGAATCCAAACCTGAAGCACCCTGTAATTTTCCTGCGATGTGGGTTCTTGAAGCCCTATCGCTTTGACAAGGCGGCATAAGTGACAAGTTTGTGAATGCTAGGCAGCGAATAAAAATGACCCGGAGCTGACTGAATCAGCTGCAGTGCCTTATATATCTCCAGTGTTCTTTCTTTTGCTTATGTAGTACGTACTTTCCCGTAGGTTTTTCCCGACTTCAACAATTTAGTAAGGGTCCCCTTGAATTTCTGTGAAGTTCTTGTGTTCTATTTACCAGTACCCTTTCCAGCAGTAGGCAGTATACAAGAGTGGTATGGCAACGCTCCTATGCGCATCTAGGTTTATTTACATCATATCGGTGGCAGAAAATCAAAACTAATGAAAACGAGGCAACATATTAAAGCATAAAATGAAAGGCAAGGCATGGGAAAATATGAGCTTTAAAAGAAAACTGCCTCCGGGATCTCATTCAACCGAGGAACATGAAGCATGCATGCACTATATCAGTCCTACAGAATGTTTTATTTCCTCCAACTTTTTTCATCTACTAGCAATAGGTATCAATCTTCAACAAGAAACTTGACTGAGATATGAACCTCTTTGATATTTCTTTTTTAATTTTTCAGGGAACAAATTCCATTTCACGTGAAGTATGATGACACTCCGGGAATTTTCACATTCACGGTGGACAAAGGTATGTTAAAAGTAAGCACTTGTGAGTGTTCTTTGTGAACTGTTCTCATCCGGAAATTTCTGTGCTTAGTACTGAATGCGTCCCACCTACATGGCCAGATATCAATGCTTGTATGAAAGTACATTTCCGCCGCAATAATAACGTGTCACCGTCTTTAAACAACGTAATTTTCACAATGAACCAGTACATGCCAGGTGAAACAGATTGCCATCGGCAGAAACCACTAGTGGAGGTATGTTACGCACAAATCAGACAGCTAATACGACCTACCATTGATCTACACAAAACGAACAAGTTGCCGCCGACCACAAACTATTGTCAACAATGCGAGATAACGAGGAAACAGTCAGGAAAGGAAGCCACAGCATGGGTGATACATAAGCGCGACACGAGCTTGCGCCGGCTTGGATTCCGTCCTTATGATGTTAGTTGACATTCCAGTACGTTGGTACTGGAACTTTATAATATGTCATATTGTATTATTTTACTGTGGCGTTATATTATGCACTGTGGTGGTTCTTGGGCCCTCAGACGCAAAACCCAAGACAAGGACAAGAGAAACATCTATTGACTTCACACACAAAACGATCACAACACTGTGACTATCTGTACAACACACTGGCTCCATAATTCAGTCCTACAGTCCTTATGTCTACGCGCCCGCGAGTAACCCACGCGTCCTCACTACTCGGAAGTCTAATTCCGTCGGGTGCCACTCACGCTCCCGCTGAAGACGATGGCGTCGACGACGCAACCTCGCCACGGGAAGGTTGCCAAGTCCACGGGAGCTCACGAGCAGACCATCAGCTGCTCGTGCTGGACCAGGCGGCCCCACGCTGCGGCCGACGCAACACCCAGGTCGCACCTTCAATTGGCGGTTGTGCCGGACCGGCTCCGACGTGGCACCGTGGCCACGATCTCGGTGACTGGTTGTGCCGGACCCGAGTCTGGACAGGATCAGCCGCTTGCCCTGGCCCGCACGCTCGTCCGCCACAGGAACAGCATGTCAGGCCCGGCCCGGAACCGCCACTCGCCTCAGGAACATGCCACGCTCGTCCCGGTTGGGTTGGTGACACCCGCTCGTTGGTTCGGTCCCCTGAGGCCCAACGCCTAGCGCTCTTGCTAGCTGGCCGCGTTCTTCCTCTGCCCGTCGCTGTTCCGAAACTCACGCGCTCACGTTCGTCTGACCCCGTGCACACTTTCGTCTTCGTCGGTTATTTTCCGCTGTCGGTTTCACTTCCAGTTTCGATTTTGGTTGTGAGAAGCACTCTTACCACACTCCCCCCAACTTCCAGTACGTTGTACACACGTAACACACAGTTCCCGAATATAACAAAGGTTCCGCACACTTTAAATGTCACAGTTTAGATGTAAAGAAAAAAAAACCAATTGCACTATGATGACAACATGATAAAAAAATTGTGTACAACGGCAATAAGTCACTGCTCGGTAAAAGCCGCACGACTCATATAGTCGGCACCAACGTTGTTCACATCACGAATGTGTTCCACGCGAAAGTCATATTCCATAAGAAGGAGACTCCACCGCAGGACTCGATTATTTAGGTGCCTAGCTGACTGATTATAAGTCAATGGCTGGTGGTCACATTGCAACGTGAACGGCTTGCCATAGAGAAAAATGTGGTATTTGCGAACAGCCCAGACTACGGCAAGGCCTTCTCTTTCAATTGTGGAGTAGGCTGCTTCGCGGGGTAGTAATTTACGGCTCGCGTAGGAAACTGGGTGCAGACGGCCTTGGTGTTCCTGGAGCAATACTGCTCCTAAGCTCCGCGAAGACGCATCCGTGCGCAGAACAAATGGCTTATGCAAGTCGGGTGACTTCAGCACAGGCTGCGTGGACAATAGATTCTGCACTTGTCGAAACGCTCTCTCATGTTCTTCACCCCATATTAATTTATTGGGGTGGCCTTTCTTTGTAAGTTCTGTGAGCGGAAATGTCAACTCAGCGTAATTGGGCAAAAAGTCGCGGTAATAACCTGATAGGCCGAGAAAGGCTTTCAATTCCTTCTTGGTGCTTGGCGGCACAGCTGCTTGTATCTTATCAGTAATGCTCTTACTCGTCCGCAGCATACCTTGCCCAACAGTGTGGCCCAAAAAAGTGGTAGTCGGACAGCCGACCGCACATTTCGCTGGTTTTATAGTTAGACGAGCCGCTCTGACGTGCTCAAACAATCTCTTCATGGTTACCAAGTGTTCTTCCCAAATTTCAGTAGCGACGAGCACATCGTCGAAGTAATATAGCACATTGGGAATCCCCTCGGTGACGACTCGCATTAACCGATTAAATACTGCCGGCGCAGTCTTGATGCCGAAGGGCATAAAGTTGATGTGGTACAAGCCAGATTCACATGAGAAAGCCGTGAGCTCTTTCGACTGACTGGTTATAGGTACCTGCCAGTATCCTTTAGTAAAATCAAAGCGCGAGAAGTAGTTGCATCCCGTAACCTTAGCGAACATCGTATCTGTGCGAGGGATTGGCTCACAATCCGGAAGTATGACCTTGTTCAGTTGTCGGAAGTCAATACACAAACGCATGGTGCCATCCTTCTTCTTGACGACCACTATGGGCGAGTGATAGGCTGACGTTGACCTTTCAATGACACCTAACTGCAGCATGTCCTTCACTTCCTTCTCGACGGCACCTTTGACAGTAAAAGGTAGCGGGTGCTGTCGGACCTGTATGGGAGCCTCTGATGTAAGCTTCAACTCACAGTGAACAATGTCAGTCTTCCCAGGTACATCTGAGAAAACGTCTCTGTATTCTTTAAGAACCGCTGTGGCTTGCTGTCGTGCATCAGCGTTGAGCTACGATGCTATGGTAACATTCGTCCAGTCCTGTGTCTGTTCTAGTGTGATATGGGGCACTTCGTCGGACTGAACCTCGTCTGTGTCACTTGGCAACGTCGCGGTAACGCCTGCAACCGTTCGTTGGCTTAGTGGCTTGCGCTCCTCATACTTCTTAACATGTTGATGTGAAAGAGCGTAACCTTGTGGCCCAGGTTTACCAGGTAATCCAGTTCGCTGCGTTTCTCAATAACAGTGAAGGGGCCCTTCCAGGAAAGCACCAGCTTGTTAGCATCGGCTGGTAACAACACCAGCACCTGGTCACCAGGGACAAGTTCGCGCTGTCTCGTTTTCTTATCGTAGTACCCTTTCTGCAGCTTCTTCGCCTTCATCAATTCTTCGTGTGCGAGCGCACAGGTGCGTTCTAAACGTTGCCGCAGCTCCATCATATGTGTGTATGTCATCTTGGTCTCGTCATCGAGGCGAGGGTTCGTCCAGAGCTCCTTGAGAACAGCCATTGGCCCTCGCACGTATCTACCATATAATAATTCAAAAGGAGAGAATCCAGTGCTACATTGGAGAAGCTCTCGGTAGCGCAACAGTAACGGACCAATGTAACGGTCCCAGGTTTTCGGACGCTCTTGACACATTCGCCCTATCATGCGTTTTAATGTCCCATTAAAACGTTCAATCAAACCATTGGCCATCGGATGGTATGGCGTAGTAGGCAGTTGTTTGAATGAAAGCAGTCGGCTGAATTCCTTCATAACTGCTGACATGAAAGACGTGCCGCGATCACTGATGATCTCTTTAGGCATGCCAACGCGAGAGAACATTTTCAGGAGACCTTCCGCAACCTGTCTCGCTTCAATGGAGGGACGTGCTACCGCGTCGGGGTATCGCGTCGCAAAATCTATCATTGTCAGTATGTAGCGATTGCCCTTTTCAGATGTTGGTGACAATGGGCCGATAATATCAATGCCAACTCTCGTAAACGGTGTCTCGATGATAGGCGTGGTGCCCAAGGGAGCGCGTCCCACCAGGTGGCGTGGCACCATCCGTTCACAGATGTCGCAAGATTTCACGAAGCGTTTTGTGTCGGATTGGACACCCGGCCAGTAGAACTCTCCAGTGACCCTGCTTACTGTCTTCGTGATACCTTGATGGCCGGCTAAGATGCCTTCGTGGGCTAGTTTCAGCACCACCTCACGCAACTGTCGTGGTACAACAAGTTGCTCCAAATTAGTTCCATCTGGTAAGTTGTGCTTGCGGAATAAGGTTCCGTCCCGAATGAAAAACACCGTTTCTCGATCGTTCGACATGCTTTTCTTGCCAACCGCCTCGAAACACTTTCGCAAAGTTTCGTCATCCACTTGACATTTTTTAAGCGCCTCACTTCCCACTTGTAAAGCAGGCAGAGTCATCACAGGTAAAAAAGTGTGCTTCTTCGTTTCTCCTGCTTTTCCCACGAGGACTTCTTCAGGTAGGGGCCACTTTTCCATGGCTTCATGCGGTGGCTCATACGCTTCCTCCGCATTCGATCTTGGTTGGGTTGCGTGCAAATTGCCAGATACATCCTGCTCACCATTGACAGCATTCCCTTTGCTAGAGTCTGTGCATGGTGCACGCCTTGTTTCCACATGGCCATAGTCATGCTGTGGTGCTGACTCATTCATAGGTAACGTATCCGGCAATGCCGCGCCCTTGATGTTGTCCAAAATTACGTCGTATAATGGGTCGGTCATACACTTAACGAGTACTTCCCCAGTAAACAATGTACATTGCAAAAGGACTTTTGCCTCTCGGAGGTATCGCACAGTACGGTCCAGTAAGTACACTGGGCTCGTCGTTCCCGTGAACTTCTCTTTCGGAACCAAGGATTGCCGCACGACGACCGTGTTGCATCCGGTGTCTCGAAGCACCTGCACTGGTCTGTCCTCTAGGAACCCCTCCACAACAGGTATGTCAGCGACTCCAACGTTCGTGGATCGTCGACTTGATGTGGCATTGACGATGGGTATTGTTCCGCCGTCTTGGAGAACAATGTAGCCACTCTTATGGTGTTCAGGTGTCAAGTCTTCGCGTTTTTCCGATAGCATACATGATGCCTGGTCTTTGCCAAATTTTCTACCGGGGCATCTGTCACTGCTGTGTCCACTTTGTTTGCATACTCCGCATCGGCTGAAAGTATTCCCT